ACACAAAAGAATTACAACCAGTTGCATCATATTATAGGTCTTAAAATGCCTCATTCTCACAGTAGAAGCAACACTATTTAAAATGTAATACAATTAAAACAATTTTTGTTTTCTTGTCTAACCTAAATCTGATTTTTTTTGTACTGGGAAAGACTCAGTTTACCTCAAAAGATTCTGCAAAATATAACAATGATTACAGACAACAGGCTAGAGGAAAGGAAGCATGACCTTTTTGACTGGACAAAGTGAACATCATATTTAACTAAACACTGAACAAATATTTTGGGATTCATTTCCAGATCACTGATACACAAGTCTTTGCTTTGAAATTGCCAAGTGAACAGTTCTACTTTAGACTCTGCATTGATCCATTATTTCAGAGCACACTACTGCATCTCTCTGAGCAATGCATGTATCATCCGTTTGTGTGAACTTGTGATTTAACAAACTCTGAGAGAGTCCCACAGCTGAACTTGAAAAGTGAGGGCGAGTATTTGTCATAGACTAACGGTTCCCTTGTGAGTGTGTGATGAATGAAATGGAAGCAGAGCTTCTGTGTTCAGAGTCACAAATGGTTGTTGCTGTTTGCAAGGCTCTCATTATGGGCAGAAACTTTTTTTTCAGACTGATCAGAGCTGCTTTTTGCAAGATTGTAGAAGGAGCTGATGCATCTGTGCTATCCCGATTCCATCGAGCTCCCTCTCTCTCTCAGCATAATGTGTTCTTTCCTGACCAATTTGTGTCACACAAAATTGTACCTCATTCATTAAACTAAGTAATAAGGCTCTGTTTAATTATAGCAGAGTTGAGGACATCTAGCTTTTAAAATATCAATAGTTTAAAGCCAACTGTTATATCATTGACATGCTTAATATCTATAACCCACCAAATAATCATTAATGAATGATTATCACTAAAAACCATTGAAAACTCAACATTAGATAGAGTACAGCTGCCACCCTGCAGACCAAAAGCTCAGTTTCGCTGTCACTTGGTTATTCACTCTTAAACCCACATCTTGGGCTATAAGCCAGCCAGAATGGTTTTATATTGGGGCTGATACTATGACCTTTAATTAATATTAAAAAGGATAAAACTCTTTGTTCTCTTTGCCTGAAGTTTGCTGATGCCCTTGAAAGAGAAACATTCTTTATAACACATGGCCCTATCGCAGAGATAAAAAGTTTTATCATAACTTCTCCATTTTTCATAATAATGGATACTCCCAGAAAAACCAAAGCATGTACTCAGCAGGCTTGTAATTTTTCCTGTCTATAGCAGCCTAAAATAGATCCATCTATCAACCGTCACTACAAGGTCTCTAGAGTCACATATTCTATTCTTTAAAATGACTGTGCTAATCATTTAGCATTAGTCTGATTTAAACAACACAGTATGGATGGCTTTTATAAATAAAATCTAAAATAAAATATCAACAATACTATTTGTTAGTTAAATAAATAAAAATGATTTAACCAGAACACAGTGGGATCTGCATTTGCAATAATCAGTCCCTGTAACATTCAATGTTATAGAACCACTTTTTGTGCAGTATGTAAAGGGGAGAAATTAAATTGATTGCAGGATTTTTTTGTTAAATGTATAATATGTATAAAATGTATATTCACACAGAGTTGTGTATGTGTGTGTATATGTGTGTGGGTATAATATACTGTATATATATACACCTTGCTACGTGTACTGCGCTAGGCTAACCGAGACTTGTCATTTGCACTTATATATTGTTGCTCTTTTGTTAGCATGCTTTGTCCCAATGTTATGCCTGTCCGGCATTAGAAATAATCTTGTTAACAAATCGGCTTTGTTTAAACAGGTTGGGTAAGACAAGAGTCAACAGACATTATCTTCCTACTGAGCAACTATCCATTTGCCGTTTTGTCTGAATCGATTAAAACATCCTATTGCCAAAATAATTGTGTGATAGAGCACAGCAGAGGCATGTAACCTTCATTATGAGTATATTTGCTCCTCTTCAGGCACTCAGAACTGAATTGGATGAGACTGCATGTTAGACGCAATTCAATAACTCAGGATGACATGGTTTCATTATTCTTAATCCCCCCTGTTCCATCTTGTTCATTAAATTTTTCATTTCAGCATGGGGTTTGCAGTCATTGGTCCGAACAGTGGGAGAGTTTTTTTTTTCAATAAGACGAATCATAAAACATGAGGACGGACAAGGGCGATGCCCATAGCCAAACCTGTTTGTGTTGCTCACTGGAGAGCAGAGATAAGACTGTTTAATTGCACTTTTTGTAGTCTTCCCTCCCACTGACTAATTTCTAGCTATAAGAAACCAGGCTGTTGATATGTCATTCTCCAAAAAGACAAGACAAATATTTCATCCATAAAGACAACAGATGCCTTGGTTTTCAAGATTGATCTGTTGTATCATGCAGCACAGCAATAATCTGAGGCAAAGAGCTAAGACTGCTGCAACCTCAATGAAACATGAAAAGTTAAGGGATATTTCTGGAATTTCACACACTGACAGAAATGATAATCACCTACACAAATGCAAACCTACCCACAGGTCCAGAAGACAATGGCATAAGTGACTCTACCCATGTAATATTTCACTGCGGTAAATGCAAAACACCCTTATCAAGCCCTCCGGCATCAGGCGACGGCCCTCTAATGCACCTGCTCAGCGTAATCACTTAACATCAGGGCTAAACACACACACACACACAGACTAACACCATACCATCACTGTGATGAATCAAATTAGAGACATGGAACGCATTTCGTCCTCCACTAAACATAAGCTAGGATACATTTTTCAGATGTATCCTGTCATTCTATTCATGTCATGTCTTGATCTGAAATCGTCATACCGCTATCTCACGCTATGTGGTTTCACAAGGCCAATTTGTCTCTGAAGACAATGGCCAAACCATCCTCTGCTGGAAGGCGCATCTTAAGTCTGTACTATATGAAGTAAGATCAGATGTTTGGCCAGATAAAGAACAATGCACTGATTTTCCTGCAAAGAAACATGGGTAAATCCATCCACCCATCAAAATAAAAATGTTTTTGAGAAATAGAAACATCTATTTTGCTAAAAAAAAATAAAAAAAAAAATTTAATTAGTCATTGGAAATGCTACAAGTAAATGTAGGCATCACAAAATTATATTTATAATATTTTTATACATATATTTATATTGTTTATATTATTGATATTATTATTGATATTTATAATATAAATTATATATAATATTTATGATATATAATAAAAAATCTATTTCAAATCAATGCTATTCTGAACTTTCTATTCATCAAAGAATCCTGAAAAACATAAAAAATATATACTTTATTATCTCTTTGTGTGTGTGTGTGTGTGTGAGAGTGTGTGTGAGAGAGAGAGATTGCATACTGTAATCTCTTAAGTACAATACATTTTGTTTGAGAGATCAAATAATTGCATGATGCACGAGGTTAAGCACTAATTAATGGTTTTAACCAGGTTTGCAAGCACTGCACTTCAACACAAGAGCCTTTAAAGCTAAATCCAAAATAAAGCAAATGCAACTGTGCAAATATCCAGGCAGATGACAATGAGACATTCTCTAGAATTTTCCAGGAAACTACGCACTGAAGGAAATCAAAGGCAAGCACTGTGATTTGTGTTGAGCACTGGTGCTTTTTAGATATCCCCTTGTTTGATCTCTCAGCCAAAATCAGTGTAGTGGAGAACATTTGCATAATGGAAGTTATTAACATGTCCTCTGCTTTCAACTCATGTCTTTCAATAAGTCAGTCAGGACAAAAGGCGTTCAAAGCAGAGGGCGCAGGGCAGGACAGCTTCTTCGTTTACAATCATACAAACGGAAAGTTGCACTTAAAAACGCCAATAAATGACCACTACTCAAAGGATGCAAAGGAAAAGCTCTGAAAAATCTCTGAGAGTTTAATCTCTGTCTCCACCTCGTGCTGCCAAAAATGTGACCTTGTCAAATGATTGGTGCCAAAATGAGGTGCATGTCATTCAGGCTCCTTCTTGATCAAGACAAAAAGGAAGGAGAAAATACATTTTCAGAAGCAATTATTTTTCTGGAGTGCCTCCTCAAACTTTTCAATCATTTTAAATTAAAAGATAAAAGCTTTTTTGAGAGTACTTGAGGGCAGAAACAAACAGATAATCTGAACTTGTGGAGTGCAGCTCTGCAGTGAGCTGAATGCTAATGGTGGAAGCCCATCTGCCCCCATCACGCATTATTGGATTTAATTCTTTAGATGAATATAGCTTTGGATCGCTGCAATCATAACTCTTCTTTATTTCCATACATCAATTAGGACAGAAGCAAAAGAGATCAACCTCCCTGATTATCAATGTCAATTCTGTCCACTAAAATGAAATAAATGCATTTCGGACACTACGACATTGGCTAATCATTCTCGTGAATATCTTATAGTAACTTTTGGGTGTTACCGGGTAGCAAATGGACTCATTATCCAAAACCTAGACCCTGAAACCCCTTCGATCGTCTGTAATTCTGCCACGATAAGATGAAGGAAGGCAGGAGAAATAGTGAAAGTATGGCATCTCTCTCCTCGATGTGCAGACATCTGCTGTGCTTATCGTTCAGTCTGCTCTGAACTGCATTAGATAACTCTTGTCAGAGCTAACTGGCTCATAAGGGCCCCTAATTAGGAAGATGGGCATGTTTGTAAGCATTGGACTCTGCAGAGCTGTTTCAAGTGGCTGACAAGGCTTTATATGTACTTCTCAGAGCATCTAATCAAATTCCATGGGAAGGAAAAACCACAAAACAGCAAAGGGAGAACAGATTTACCAAAGTGTAAAGTCATTCAATATATGATACGACATATCGAACAAGTGGATTAATCAGCAGATATTTGGCTATTTTGAAATGACCATGACTCTGTCAAAGCACACATTGCCCTTATCAGGGTTACTGTATATATTCTTGTGAAAAGGAGCACTTTATGTTTCTTTTCTGTATTTTGACATACCTCTCGTCGCCTGGAGGCCCAACAGGTCTGTTTGATCTCCCACACCACTGCAGCTACCAGCAACAGCGACAGAAAACAGCTGTAGGATGAAGAAAAGAAAGGATAGAAAGATTAAATGATGTCGAATTTTCATATATATATATATATATTAAATCACTAGGGATGGGCAGTATGACATTACATATCAAGCAACAGTAGAAATGTGTCAGCTGGTAAGGTATTTACTATACTGTTTATAATGCAATAGCTATCTGTGCAACTATCAGGGATTTATCTAATTACAATTTAATACTGGAACTTTTGAAGTTTTACTGTTTTGAGCATTTTAATTGATATTTAATTGATATGTTGCTGTTAACTGATGTATTGATTATTTATTTGTTATGAATAAATGTCTCATTTGCATCCAAGTTCCAAATAAATAAATAAAAATGATTCATTTGTAAAATAACAGAATTATGCAAAAACATGTATTACCATGTGGAGAAAATGATATTTTTATCTGAAATATTAGTATTATTATTAGCTTTATTTGCTTCGCTCTACCAAAGAGTGTTCTTTTCTTCTCTAAATGCCTCATCAGCATGCTTGAGTTATTTTGACATATTAAAAGCAGTCCATGTGTCGAAGGTGCAAGGCAAGTGTGAGACAGGAAATGTTATTTTAGCTTTTTAAACGCTTAGCTTCTAAGAAATTGATTTTCATTAAATACTAAGAAACGCATCTAGAGGACATAGTTGGATGCCTTAAATGGACACATATGTTGAATATGCATTATGATTGGATGAGATAGAAGAATCCTGGTTTTATTAGGGTAGAAATACGGAGTTAAAGTGTTCCTTCTTTTGTCGCAATCTACAGCCAACCCCGAATGACTATGAATGTAGACCTTTTCCTGCAAGAAAACAAAATTTCAAAAGACTTTTGTCTCATACCTTCATAGAAATGGAAAAATGCCACAACTCACCACATTGCTAAAAATATTAAAATATATTTAATCAATATTACAGCAAAAATATCTATGTGGCACTTTGTTACTGTGATATTACATTAATCATACTGTGATATAAAATGTGGGTCATATCAGCCAACCCTTCTATGCCGTTAATAAAACACAATTACTTCATGTTTCTTTATTGCAACACTTGCCTCTCATCTCATATATCTTCATCAAGTGTTAAAAAGAAGCTTTGCACTATGAGCAAGAAGTGACAGATTTATGTTTATACCATTCAACAGATGGCAAATATGAACATTACCACTGGATAAAAACACAGAATTTTCAAAAACAACATCTTGTGAAACTATTG